CCCCTCAAACCCCTCAAACCCCTCGAACCTTGCCAATGGTTCTGCCAGACTGGCCGCCTCAAACCCCTGGAACCTTGCCAATGGTTCTGCCATACTGGCCGTTGGAGACGCTCCAAAACCCCAGACTTGCTGGACTGTGGGCCCTGGGCTCTGTGCGCTGGCCGTTGGAGACGCTCCAAAACCTCGCGCCATTTCCCTTTTTCTCGTGGTGCGCCACGGCCCCTGTGGGCTATTTCTTGCCTATCGTCTTCTGCACGTTCTTCTTTTGGTCTTTCACCTTTCCAGCGGTCTATCTTCAATGTTGGCAAACCAAGCTAAAATGGCTACCGGGAGGTGTTTCCGGGGTCGGCGGCAGGGGCGGCAGCCCTTAAATATATGTCGGACATCCGAAGTGCTCGACATTGACGTGTACCAATTGCACGGCCGCCGCCGGCTCTTGGCTAATTCTCGTTCTCGATGCGTTTGTATCTAGGTTCTGTGACTGCAGAACTCGTGGATGTCATCTTTGGATCCAATCAACAACACGTCATCCACATGGACACTTAAATAGCTCTCCTTGGTCTAGAGTCTACTTGTGTCCCTAAAGACGCATACCAAGCAAGCCACTCAGGCTCTTTTGTTTCTTACCTTGCCTTTTCCACCACAAGTTGACCATGGTTGACGAAGTATGCGCTTCGCTGTCGAATTGTCGCGATATGTGCATCCAAAAAAAAGGTTCAGGCGGGCTCCGTCCAGGATTCGAGGGGTTGATGTGCACAAGTTCCTCTTCCGCATTCGTCCGGTGCTAGTCCAGGCTCACGCAGTATTGTCAACTTCCAACCGCGCTGCTGCATTGGAGCCTGGCAGGCTGAACCCAAACCACATCAGCGCTTCCGCGAGCTGCATGGCACTGCAGTTGTTTGCAAAGAATAGTCTAGTTCAATTATGAGCAATCTATCTGATGCGAACCACCTGCAGATGCCAAGCGCACAAGCTGCAGGAGTGGCCCCACCTTAGTAAGCTAAAACGTAATTAACATGAGTCTATGCCATCTGCGCTTTGAAAATGACTTATATAGCCAATCTGATCACTCAAGTTTGGAGCACGACGGGCGATGAGCTCGTGGAGGAAAATCTGTACACACGCAGGTCACAGCCGCTGGGCGACGCCAACACAATCGCCTGCAACGACTGAAGCGACCAGTCATGGTGAATCCATCACGTTCTGAACAACAAGAAGCTATATACTAGTAGCAAGTGCATCGCTACTAGTAGTAACCAGGGCATTACTACTACTAGCAAGAAGCAATATTAAACAATTGTTTCAAGGTTCGCCGATGTTTTTCCAATCGAAGAAAGCCCGGCTTGAACTTGCGGCGTGCCAACAAACCGCAGAATCTGGGGCACATCGCAAAAGTCCTCCGCAAAGCGAGAATCAGGCGATCAAACTCAAGTGGGAGCAGCTTCTTGAAACACAAAGACTCTCTTCGCTTTGCGTTTCACTTTGTAGCATTTCGCAGCAGTCAAGTCCCAATGCGTTTTTGAAAGATTTTTTAAGAGGACATTTAAAGAAATTCTGTTCTCACCCATCATCTCGTCTCAAAATAACTCTTCACTATGCAAGCAGGAAGATGAAGGGACAAGCTGCCTCATCGGTTTCCATGGCCAACTGCTGGACAAGCTGCAAACCTTTCAAGGCTGCTTAACGGGTGTCATATTTGGCGATGGCAAAGGTCTGCCTGTTAGTCCGCTGCTGTCTGTGGAGACTTTCCACACTAAAAGGCTATCCTGAGGAATCGCCCCAAGTATCAGCTCAAGGATTAGACAGCTCACGTTTGAGGACAAAGCAGTCAAGGCAAGGAGGCAGCTTGCATCGACAGAGAACGCCACATCCCAAATCTGTAGGGCACCCTGTCACATATTTAGAGTGCATAACAAGGCAATCGATGCGTTCAGCTTCACAAGTGCTTTTAAATGCTAAGAGATGCGGGTTGGCCTCTCTGGAGCCATTCCCTCCCTGCGCAGCCAGCGGGTGATGTCTCACGTTCTGCTAGGAAAAATCTGCAAGGTGGCAGGGTCACTTGTTCTTGGCCGAACTCTTACTTATGTAGGCGCCTATTTAACTAAGGAAGTAAGCTAGGCTAAGTGCGCTGCTAGGTAGGACGCAGGATAGCTCACGCTCGCACTAATCACTTGGTTCCTAGATTAGATTGTATGTCAAAACTTCAAGTTAACTTCAAGCTCTGTGTCATGACAGCTTCCCATTACGGCCACTTCATGCCATTTCTATACTTGGCTGCACGGTCGTAGTGTTCATAACGCGTTCGTCGTTTTCACGACCTCTATACAACATTGCCAGGATGCGAGAATGATGCCCACCAGTTCTGTACGTATCATTTCCAAACCCTTCGCAGCAAGTGCCATGTTTGCCTTTTTCGTTGTTTTGGTAGGCGGGCTCCGGGTAGGAGAGGTAGGGTAGGTAGCCTAGGTAGCTAGTACGTCAAAAAGAAGCTATATGCTACAATAGAAAAAATGCATCTTTGCTCCCTTGGTTCCTTCCTTAAAGGTCCTTATACTATCTTACGCTCAGCAAATCAGCAAAGCTTACAAAACATGAACCCTGATCATGCACCTTGGGCAAAAGAACGGTGGAGCAGCATCGCTGAAGCTGCGCCCGATCTGGGAATAGAATTCCACCGGGAGCTATCTCCTAGGCAGCAAAAATAGACTCAACACAAACGTTCGAACCTTGAAACGGAAAGCCAAGTCTACCCACCCACCCACCCACCCGCCCGCCTACCCACCCGCCTACCCCCCCAGCTGCTGTCAATTGATCATCAGATTGCTGAAACAGGCACAGCTAAATCTACAAACGTGCCTCCCCTGGCAACACTATATAATCTTTCACGCTCCTTTTTCTCTTCATTGCCTGAGGGGTGGTGCACACAGGCCGTCATGGCCAAAAGTGTGAATTCGTCCTCACCCATCAACTGCAGCTCATGCTCTGTCAAGCGGCGCAGGAGTAGGAACCAGATTCTTTCTGGGACCAAGGCCCGATGCCATTTCATGGCCTGTTCCAGCAACCAAGGAAAGGCTCTGGCACCATCCAAAACTGTCTTCTTCGTCGACGGGGGAAGGGCATGAAGAAATTGGATGGACCAAGCTTCTTGCACGTAGATCTCCATGATCTTCGATGAGATCCACCTCCCCCTCCTCCTCGTCATCTCCGAGTCCTCGCTAACCATCAGCAGCCACGAGGCTCCGCCAGCCCTCAAGCTGCCAAGGTCTATGCCTCTGGACAGGTTGTCGGGTAACCTGTCCAAACCACAAGCTTCCAGGAGCCGCTGAAAGCGGCTGCGCATCGTCTGGCCCGACAGCGGCCAGAGCTTGAACTCTGGCTTCAACTTTTCGAAGGCGAGGCTAACCACCATCAACAGCTGGGGCTGATCTATCTTTGCAATTTGGTGCCTCGCAGCCCTGTACCGGGTCTTTGCTTCAGCAATCTGAAGCATGCCATAGGAGATGGTGAACTCGACGTCGGACGGCAGGATCAAATCCCGCCTTGCGGCGCTCAGGACTTCTCCTATCCTGGAGAGGCTTCCCCAGGATAGTGCGATCACTCCAGCAACTCTCGTCCACCCCCAGCTCAAAGAGGTGGATAGCAGGCACAAAAGTGCTTGCCATGGAAGTGCCAGGCGGTGGCACGGAGGCTCCTGCCTCAGTAAGGACGGCCAGCCCTGAACCCTGAACAGTTCTCTTCCATACTTTCCCAGACGTAAGTTGATCGCCTCGATGTCCGGTTCACCCGGACCAAGAAGTTGCTGCAAAGAAAAACCCTGTTTGGAGAGCCATCCACCAAACAGCTGCAGAAGGCGGTCTCTGTTTTCTTGCGTCTTCCCCAAAACAGGCCTTCCCAGAGGAAGGTCATGATCAGCTCTGGATTCGGCCCTTGTTCGATCCCTGGCATCACGAGGGATCAGTCTCGCTCCATGGCTCACCGCGGCTACCGGGCTACAGGTGAGGGTCAGCACTAAAAACCCAAACCAACCAAGCTTGGGGGACCGTGCATGCTGCGAACAACGAAAAGGGCGAGCCCGGCCTGCAGTGGTCGGGTTATCAAGCCAGGAAATTCAAAGGAAAATCCAAGAAGTCCATGAAATCCAAGAAATCCATAGCAGCTTGCGAGATGGACCGTCAGGCCAAGGAGGCCGAGGAAGAGAATGAGCCATAGGAAGAGAAGCATGCGCGGAATGACAGTCTGCCTGGTAAGGGCTGTCAGAAAGGGCCAGCTTTGGACCTTGACTGTCTCAGGTCCTTCTCCAGGAAAGCCAACTGTCTCGTCGAACTCCCACGATCCAGATCCAACTCCTCCTCCTCGCTCTGGCCCTCGAGCCGACCAGGCTTTGAAGGCGAAATGTGAACAGCGCCAGGAATCTTGGTCTCTCCACCACGGCAGGGGTGACCTCAGAGTCAGGAGAAGCAACCTGACCCAGTTGGCCTGGAATCTCTGGTCCACTGCTCATCAATGAAGCTGACGCATGGAGCTGGAAAGTCAACATCTCTGGTGGGATGATCCGCTGGCAGCAATCGTGTAGGCCCAAACTGAAAAGCAGGGTAGAGGCAACCAGCAATGATCGTAGCTCCGGCCTTTCGTAGAGCCCGGCGTAGACCAAAAGAAGGCGTCCTGCCTTTGACCAATGCGGAGAGGCCCACATTGGAGTCCATTGCAATCACTTTGGCGACCTCAGAGCCCTGTCCTTCAGGAGTGCAACCGTGGAGAGAACCTCCTGGATGTTGATGTGCGTAGGGACCTTCCATCTCCAGACTTTTTCTGTCCTCCACCTCCCGCTGACCAGCAAGACATTGCATAGTGGGCTTTCGAGGCCTTTCAACTCGAATGGCTCAAGAGCCGCGCTCCTGAGCTTTGTCTTCAGAGCTCTGTCGAAGGCAGAAGCCAAAGCTTCAGCCAGCTCATCCGTGTAGGTAGCAGAAGGCTTTGCATAGCTTCCAGCTATTTGCACATGTGCATGATCTCTTGAGCACTTCCGGTGCAAGAACTCCGTCTCCATGTTGGCAAAAAGGAAGAGGAACTCCTTCTTATGGACAGACCCGTACATGCAGGAGGCCAACCAAGTCTCATGAGCTAGCTCGTGTTCCAGGAAAAACTGCCACTCTTTAAGGCTCCTCATCTTCGTCCTCCGTGGTTGCTCTAGTCCAGAGGGCCGGTGAGGGAGGCCAACTTCATAAGCGCTAATGCCCGTAGAGCAAGAGTCGTGCCTTTCAGAGTTTTTGGATCCAGACGGTCATAACCTCTTGGTAGTTCAAACCTTCGGGAGGCAGGATGCTGAGCAGGCGAGAACGTAGTACATGGAGGCTCCACCATAAAGGAATCCAGCCACCCCCCTCGCAACCAAGTGAAAGAGGCATGAGATCACCTTGAGATTCTCCAAGTCTAGATGCAGAACAGGCCCAACTACCCATCCTCGTGCCTGCATGCTCTTGGTGATCTTTCCTGAAACACTACACACTTCGATAAAGTGGAACCTGAAAGCTCTGGGGCGCTCTGGGTCGGAGACTTGTTCTTCCTCAGGCTCCTTGTATCCGAACTGGTATTCTTCGGAGTCCCAGTCAAGTTTGCGCACCACAGCCTCTGCCCTTGTGAGCATACATAGCTGGTCTTCTTCCTGCCCGTCCTCCAAAGCACTCGAGCAACCTTCAGAAATCTCTCTTGCAACCACTGCACCTTTGGCATCTGAGGCGTCCGTAGCAAATAAAGTAGGCAAGAAGTCCGCCGAGAGATCAGTGGCAAAAAGGGGACACAGCACTGCAGCAAGCTGAACTTCCTGTGCGGCCTTGCAAGGAAGGCGATGCAGTTTTGGACTGTCTTGCGAGATTTCGTCTGACTTGACCAGCTTGTAGACCTCATCAAAGAGCGACATGAAGGGCCTGCGATACATGAGGCAGCTAGTCCACCCACCAATCAAGCAAGCCCAGACTGTCAGACGTATAACCAAGCTTGCTCAGCTCCAGTGTGATATAGGCCAGAGCTAATCTCCTTCAGGCAGGCGATGCAACAGTAGCGAGCCCCATAGACCGTGTTGACAACGAACAGTCAAGCTCTGCTCCGATGATCTTTGCCTTCTCAGCATCCCAGATGTCCTTGTCATCAGAGCCAAGGATGCACTCGATCAGCCTGGTAGGTCTTCTTTGCTGATAGGAGGTCGTTGACAGCTCTGGAGACCTTTTGATCTTCGACAGGGAGGGCCTGATTGAAAGTCGGCCAGCGCTCCGTGACGACAGCCACAGAGAAGAAGTCGTCAATCACAAGCCCTGCTGCATGGTCTTGGCCAGTATAGACCTCTCCAGACCTCATCTCCTCTCGGCCTAACAACCCTTGACTTTTGAGGAGGGGTAGCAAATTCAACTCCAAGATGGTCTCCTTGTGGGATGCTATTGAAACAGATCTGAACAGAGGGAGGCAGGCCCTCCTGATTCTTCTTGGCCTCAATCTGGATCTCCCCCAGCCTGTCGCCATGCAAGAGCCGGTCATACTTCTTTCTCTTCAAGTTCCGGAGACACCATGCCTGAAAAGCTGAAGTCTTCTTGATGTCAATCAGTGGATAACAAGCGTTCGAAACTGCCCGCTGCTCACTCACTCGGAACTGGTGATAAAAGTCTTTTCGGTCCGCGCAGCAGATCGACAGACGATTCCCAGGCAAGCTGACCTCCAGGTCAAAGAGGCAATGCGCAGCAGGCAAACCAGGAGAAACCAAAGTAAGACGTCCCTCCACATAGTTGCAAGCCCGACGGTCTCCAATCATCCTGTCAACCTCCAAGGACTTGTAGCAATTGAAGAACCTCATAGCCAAGTCACTTCCTCCTCCAGCCAAAGGGCGATCCTTGAGGTAGAGCAGGCCTTTTGCATCCCAGATCGGCACCAAGTCGGCAACAGCCTTGGGGTCTTCTCTTGACACATCGGGGACTGCCGAAGAACGTAGGTCTCCAGTCCACAACAGAGAGCGTGGCTCCATATAGGCCATCCATAATGGATCAGAAAGAAAAGGTGGGTCAAGTGATCGATATGGAATCAACTCCTCAGCCCTTCCAAAGTCTCGAGGAACTATCTCTGCCAGGCCATCCTTGGATCCAGGGAACACACGCGAATATGGGTCTCCTCCAGCACCTTCCCAGAGGTCTGAGAGCAGAGCCATCAAGGTAGGGATTCTTCGGCCGCATGCGGGGACTTGAAACACCTCTCCGCAGCTACCAAAAGCTTTGAGCATCCTCTTGAGGTTCCGAAAGATACGAAGTTGTGCAGAGGTAGGTTCTCGGCAAAGTGACTCCAATGGTACAAAAGTGAAGTCAGCATGCCAAAAATTGAGCGCCACGATGATCACGTGGAAGGCTCGGTCGACTTGGATCCTCCTCCTCTGGCGGTCACCACATCTCAATCTACCAAAAATACCAAACTTCGGAACAGGTAGAAGAAAAAGAGCTTGTGCGTCGCTGCATTATGCAAGGGCTTGCAATGAAGAGTTTGCCGCAAAAACTTTGCGAAGGGCGTCCTGGATTCCAGTACACTCGAAAGCATCATCGATGTCCAGGACCTAAAGGAAAACTCCTCCAACTTCTCCCAAGAGATTCTGCCGTCATCACGAAGGCTGCCATCCTGAGATGAGCTGGAAGTAGGAGCAGGCGGAGTACTGGCAGCCTTGCAAGGAAGGTCAAAGGCTTCCCAGAACCGAGGCCGGAACATAGTACATCTCCTGCGCTCTTGCGCCCAGACACCAAACCATTGGCCTCCGGCTCGCTCATGCGGCGCTCTCCTCGTTCGCTTTGCCCTTCTTGGGGTAGCGAGGTTTCTTCTTCCAAGAGTTGTTGTCGTCGGGCTTTTTGGGTCCTGCTCCATGGTCCTCCTTTCCTTTTGTGACTAGAGACTCGTGTCTCCGGGAGCTGATCAAGTCCACCTCTTTGACATACCCCAGAGCCACAGTCGCCCATTCTTGAGGACATAGAGGAGCAAAAGCTTGGAGGCGAGGATTCGTAGATGACGGCCTGGCCACAAACAGAGACGGCCTCCCATTTCGAGCCATCTTGCGCAGCCTGCTCCACAGTCACCATGGTCAAGGCCAGGAGCTCTTGGGCATGCAACCTTCTCCGGAGAAGCCCTGGCACGAGGCGGACTGCCATTGGAATGAAGGAAGCGAGCGGGAGCCAGTTGACGATGTGCCGGAACTCGGTCCTGTAGTCCTCGACCCACACCTGCAACCAACAAGTCCATCTTGTCTTGTCTCTGAGCCATCGTACGCAGCTGCTCGGTGATGCCTGGAAGTGCCTCGGAGATCGCAGCTATCTGCTCTGCCAAGGCCTTCGCTTTCCCCTTGGGCTCGGCATGAGCCGGAGAGGCAGGCATAGGCTGCCCCCCCTTCCTCTGCTGCAGAGTAGAACTTGACACGGTCCCCTCCTTCTTCGGCCCAATGGTATGCAGCCATGAGCAACGAGTTCGACTCGGGGAAGATATCGATGTTGTCCTGGGCAAAGGTGGCAATGCCATCCCCTTCGGTCACAGGGTCGAAGCCACGCAGGTACTCCATGATCCCCACGTGAAAGTCGATCAGCAGACACGCCACTTCGATGGCCAAAGGAACTTCTGCGTGAGGTCCTCCATCTCCGAAAAATTGCCACCATCTAGGACCTCGGTGGGGAAGAAGCCCTCTGGCACTGCACACATCAGTCCATCCCTCCTCTTCATAATAGGAAAAACCAGAGCCTCCTTCGGACCAGGAGGGAAACCCCAAGCGGCAAAGTCCATCCTCACCACATGGGCCATAACCATACCTTGGTCCAAAGTCTTCACATCCTCCAAAGCTATCGAAGTCATTGCCTCCCGAGCTCAGGGAACGAGTGTCCCGAAGCCAAGCAATAGACTCTGCCTTCTGCCAAAGAAGGGAAGGAATGGGAGACTGATCCTTCCTCAAAGCGAGGGAGAATGCTTCCTCAGCAGCAGTATCCACACGGATCGGAGAGGTGATCCCAGGCGCCCTGAGGATGATGTAACAGGATGGCTTTTGCGCGACCTTCGGCGTTGGCCTCGGTCGGTTGATCTTGCCCTCCAGAACTGCCTTGGCCCAATGTCCAGCTTCCCAAGCTCTCGTAGCCCTCGCCTTGACCTCCTCCTGCGTGCCACCAAGGCGATTGCAGAGATCAATGCAATGAGCTGGTACAGGAGGAATGGAGCGAGCCACCTGGTCAAGTGCAGAGTAGTAGCCAGAGTCTCCTCTTGGAAGCGAGGAAGTGGAGAGAGCAGATGAGGGCCTTGGGGCCTCGGCTGAAGAAGGATCGTGCTGCTCGTCAAGCTCCAGTCACGGAGGTCCACCTCAGACAGCACAGCCACAGCAGCAGCAGCAGCGCGGTCGGCCGCTGAGTCCAAAGAATCTGCCAGCAAGCGCAGGGTGTTGGCGGCAGCCTTGACAGCGCTAACCAGGAGAGCGACGGCGTCGCTCATGCAGATATGCCGATAGGCGTAACTCGGGAGCTTTTGTGGCAGGAGATGTGAGGGCCGATGCAAAAAGAACCAAAGTCCAAAAAGCACGGTGAACAGCGAGCCCAAACAAAATCCAGAGCACAAAAGGGAGACCACGAACAAGGGGCTCGAGGTGCAGTGTGCCGGACAAGAAAGGCCCCACCAGTTCGAAGCTGACCCCCACTGCAAAAGGCGAAATGCCTCTACAAAAGCTGGGTGCATAGAGCTTGAGCGGCAAAGTGCCCGTTCAAGATTGCTCGTCAAATATGATCAAGGGGAATAAAAACGAAAAAAAACAGTCGCGACACATCTTGGAGGCAAATAATACTCCAGCACATTCAAACCATAAGGTCCAATAAGCGCATGCAATGACTTTCAAGAACCTATCATACAATCTATCAACTAAAAGGGTCTTGACTTGGTTAGCCGGTTTCCACAACCATCCGCATGTCAAGCATGGCATAGCAATTGGCTGTCGTCAACTGATAGCACTTCGTATTTCGTTTCCAGCCATCTCCGCCACGCCTTGCTAATACGCGGTATGCTCCACAAGCGCAAGCTTGATGGATGCACAGTGACAAACACTCGGCTGTCCTGGACACAGCCAACGGAGAAGGAAAAACAAAGTTGAACCCACAACGAAGGAACTGAGAGCTGTTGATTGCCTTTTGTCTAACTGGCCACCTTCTTTGCGAGGGCGCACCTTCGGGTGCAAAAAGATGCGCTGGGGCTTCTCCACGTCACGGAGGGCAACTTCAAACGAACGCCTTGGAAAATACGAGCAAAGACAACGACCAGCCAAAACATTCTGAGCAAAAGGCGTTCGTTCCGTACCAGTGTCCCCAGGAAGAACCTGGAACTGCAAGCAAAGAAGGGCCATTCTCTTCAAAAAAAGACGAACACCGAACATCAACAATGTGATCTTGGATTGCCGGTTCAACCTGCGACCTGCATGTTCATCGCTATACGTACCATATTGCTACATACAAATCAACATGCAATCATCTCTACCTCTCAAAGCATTCTAGCACCACACGAGCATAGACACAAAAAACTACCCAGGGGCCAAACGTCTAGTTCAAAAATGCTGACATGT